TAAATGTTTATTGTCCACCAAAAATTGTCCTCCAAAATAAGTATTTGATTGCTATTTATTTTTACAGGAACTATTACTGTGGCATTTGGAGTTGCATTTTATATTCTTGGAGCGACACTTGCACTTTTTATCAATACAGTATCTTTTGCAATGGCACATTATAAACCCTTGCTTACTTCCAGATGATAACATAGATGCTGAGCGGAGTGTTAACGACGAAGTTCGTTATAACCTGTCCGTCGTGATATGGTTAAAACTATGAATGCTCAGAACGCATCATGGCTTTTCTTCATTGCCACAACGCGTTGAGATCGAATAGCATGTCAGCCACGACACGAATTTCGCTATTTGGTCTTTCTGTGATTGCCACAACGCGTCGTGCGCGTTTTCATTAGAGCCATAACACGAATTTCGCCATGTGGATGTTTTACTGTGACCACAACGCGTTGTGAGCTATTTTTCCGCTCACTGAGCGTTTTCGATCTTTGAGCGTAACATATATAAGAATCAGTTTATTAATGTCTCCATTGCTGGGGCTCAGGACTTCAGTACGGATCGAATCGAATAGGGAAAATGTGAAATGACCACCCACGCGTGACCAGTGCGGATCGGTGAGTATTAACGACTGCAGATGCAGCTTTTCGTGCCTTTAAGCAATGATGAGGCCTTGATAATAAATTTTTGTTTACCCATCACACGATCAGCCATTGCGATAGTTACTTTACAACCGTGTCGCAGTCCGAGCGCGCTAACCACTTCGATTTCGACCTCTTTAAATTTATATAAGAATAACTACAAAATAAATATGTTTTTAGTAGCTCGGTGGCGTAGAGGATAAGCGCCGCGGCCCGCGATCGTTGTTGTTAAGCAACTTTCGGAAGGGTCGATTACGGGATGGGTGACCAAAAAAATGTTATCTCGAGCTACTTCCTGCTTCGGAAGGCACGTTAAGCCATTGATCCCGGCTGCATTTTCAGTCGTTAATACCCTCCAATCAGCATTGGGGCAGCGTGGAGGGCCATGGCCCATCCTCCTTAATAACCATCCATAAGGAAGGCCTGAGCCCCTGCCGTGGGGACGTAAAAGGGCAGATGATGATGTTTTCTAGATAAATATAATTAATAACTTTAACTATAAATACAAACATAATTAATATGAACAATTTCCAACTAATTGAAGACTTCGTCGATTGGTTGTTTGAAGGAAGATCGTTAAAAGATAGTAATTTATTCAAAAGGAAAATTATTTTTTTGGCCTAGCTGGTACGTGTAGCGTTGTTTCTCCATATTTTCAAACAAGATTACAGAGGAAACAACCGTGTTTTATTTGTAATTTCCAAAAGAAAATAACTTGCTCAAAGGCTGTGTATGCACTGGCGTATTGGCGACTTCAAAACTGAATTAAATTAAGAGATCCATCATCATCATCAGCATCTGTCCTGTTACCTCCCCACTGGAGGGGCCTGTCTTCCTTATGGATGGTTAAGGAGGACGTCCATAACACTTCCCGCTGCTGGCCTAGTGCTGATTGGAGGGTATTAACGCATAAATGCACCAAAGCACGTAGTAGCTGGGAGATAATATTTTTTGGTCACCCATCCCGTGACCAACCCTTGCAAAAGTTACTTAACAACAACTTTCACGGGATTACATAGCTCAAATCACAGTGAATGAAAAAATTTGTAGAAGAACTCCGTAAATATATAAGAATATATGTCGATTTAACACAACACCGAGCAAAACTTGAACTACATATGAAATTGGTGTTTGGTATGGGAACAAAAAGTCGAATATTTTTGAATATAATATATTTATTTAATCAAAGTATAAAATATTGTGTTCTATGCATTTTTGCCATCTCATAGGTAGTTCATTGATCCCTTTACTAAAAAAACCATTCGGACGGGAATCAATAAAATCTTTGAAGGCGATTTGCACTGGCCCATCGAAGTAGAATTTTTTCCCTTGCAAGAAGTTATCCAAATTTCGAAAAAAAATTTAATCTGTTGAAACAAGGTCCGGGGAGTACGGTGGATGTCTTAGACATTCCAATTGAAGCTCTTTTAATTCGGTAGCCATCTGTTGTGCAGTGTGTGGTCTAGCGTTGTCGTGAAGTAGCAGTGGCGTAGAGCGATTGACCAGCCTCGGTTGTTTAACAGCTAGTTTTTCCGGCATGGTGTGCAATTGCTGACAATAGACGTCTGCTGTAATCGTCTGGCCAGATTTAAGAAAACTATAATAAACGTCACCGGCACTAGTCCACCAAACGATTACATCTTTTTTGGGGTCAACTTTCGCTTGGGTCAGGATTTGGCTGGCATGCCAGGGTTCAACCATTGCGATGAGCGCTTCCTATTATCGTAAAGAATCCACTTTTCATCACAGGTAATGATTCGATTTAAAAACCCTTCATTATTGTGCCGGTTAAGTAATGTAACGCAGCAGTGGTAGCGGGTTTGCCGGTTTGCTTCACTCAATTCGTGAGGTACCCACTTTTCAATATTTCCAATTTGCTTCAAGTGGATTAAAACAGTTTTATCACTAACACCGCAGCCTGCAGCTAACTTAGATGTGGTTTGCGATGGATTCGCTTCCACAATAGCCTTCAATTCTTCATTATTAACTTGGGTCTCCGGCCGTCCACGGGACTTATTCTGCAAGTCGCAATTTCCAGAACGAAAACGTTGGAACCAAAAACACACTGTTTTTTCTTTTGCGACTGTATGGCACACACATCATTAACCCTTCGAGCCGTTTCCGCAGCACTGGTACCACAGTGGAATTCGTACTCGTAAATAATACGATATTTCAAGTTTTCCATTTTTTATACTGGGTGACGTAAATAGGACAAACGAAGAAAAAAAAAACAAATTAATGCCGCCTATCAAAACACAGACACGTGTGTAAATTACTGTATAAATTTTAACTTGGAATTCCCAACCAAGAAGGAGAAATTTTGTGATAAAAGTGGCCAGTATGACAAAACGCCAATTTCATATGTAAGGACCTAATATCTAGTTAATGAGCAAATATTAGAAATAATTGGATAATGTGAAAGCCTTCATAACTTGCTTTACGATTACAAAAATAAACACATGAAAATCCTCGAATATGAAATAACTCACATATTAAATTTTTTCCTGTAGAAAAAGAAGAAACAAAATAGAAAAATGGTGAATATCAGGGCTAATTCTACGATTTTTTCCATAGATTTTTTCACGATTTGCCCGAGACAAAACCCTTAGATTCGTATTATAGTCGAGAGAAGTAATTACTCAAGTATATGTCATAATTTAAGGAAGTATATTTACCAAATAAACAAGAATTTGAATGAAGTAAGAATTATTTATAATAAAGCTATTAACAAATTTTCACTTCATTTAAAATCTCGTTTATTGGATAAAAATAGTCGCTTAAGGAGCTTACAACTTCTTAAACGATTATTTTCTCAAATATTAAGAGCGAGTAATAAAATTTAATAAGAATTCTCTAAGAAAATTAAAGTTTTTGCAGTAATTTCTTCTTAAAACCAATTGAAAGTCACTTGCATTAGGTTTTCACTCCTAAGCTTTTGATCTGCATATACTATACTTACATTTTACAGTAACTCGTTAATACTCAGCGGCCCACAGTGAGCCCGGCCCACGTAGTGGACGTGGTGGGTTCTATTCCATCCATAAAGAAGGTCTGTGCACCAGCAATGAGGACATGACTTGTGATGATAATATAGTACCCTCTGTTGTAGTTCAATACACATGATCGATTATTAAATTTGTGTGCAAAATACCACTGTAAAAGGTATTTTACATATATAAAAAGAAGGTAAAAACACTCCAGAATCGAAAGTAGATTATCAAAATCAAAATGTTTTTCATTCTCATCAATCATTCTTTCATTTCATAACTCCTGGATCCAAGAAAAATAAAATGAGATTTTGATATAGATTACGTCACACATTAAGGGGGAATGGAGATTGACGAATTGTGACTTTGTTGCCAATTCTATGGTATGATTGTGTAAACTTAACTAAGCTATTAATTTCTAATTTTATTTTGGGCATTTTTCACATCACTATATTATTGCCACATACAATCAATGAAATATACCAGTAACCAATAATACTTCTAAATAGCGACCGCTTTAGTCTTTCAAAATATCATAACAATAGCATATAATATATTATAACAATATCAAAGAATATGTTTATGTATTCTTTTATAATATTGTATTTGTACTTGTGTTATTATTTATCACATCACCAGCCCTTTTACGTCCCCACTGCAGGGGCTCAGGCCTTCCTTATGGATGGTTAAGGAGGATGGGCCATGACCCTCCACGCTGGCCCAATGCGGATTGGAGGGTATTGACGACTGCAAATGCAGCCGGGACCAACGGCTTAACGTGCCTTTCGAAGCACGGAGTAGCTCGAGATAATAATTTTTTGGTCACCCATCCCGTGACCGACCCTTGCGAAAGTTGCTTAACGACTACGATCGCGGGCCGCGGCGCTTATCCACTACGCCACCGAGCTACTTAAGATATATAAGTTATTATTTATATATTGAATTAATGGTTTTGTTTGTTGTATTTGTCTAATTTATATTTAGTCAAACAAAGTTGTCTCAAAAATTAATCAATAATACGATATGTAGATACTGTCTTAGTTATTTACGTACAAAATGCAGTTCGACATATTTAAAAAGTTGATCTAGTGTTGTTTGTGTCTATAATAATATTATAAATTAGAAAATTTTTATTGCTTGTTTGTATTAATATGCTCCGAAACTATTAAACCAATTATAAACAGTGTTTTACTTACGGTACATTAGATGTAACATATTATAATTTACACGGGTGAAGTAGCAGGAAAGCAGATAGTCTTATATAAAAACACACAATTGTGACTGTTCTAAATTAAATCTTTATCAAACATAACGGATTCAGACTTTTTTTACGGAGATGCCATTAATTCGATAATTTCTAAGTGTAAAATTATAAATTATGCAACGTTACGCTAAGGGGGAAGGAAGGAAGGATGGTAAGAGGTCAAAAATCATAATCATAACCAACAGATCATGATTTTTGACCTCTCACCGTTTAGGTCATAGGTTATAGGTCAAATCTTTGTCCCGTCTCAATAAGGTATTCGAGACAATTCGACATTTTTATTTCATTTTTAAAGGTGGAAGCTCATTGGCATATTTTAATAGGCCATTTAGGAACCGTAAGATTGAAGGTTGGAGTCCCTATTGTGGTGATGGAGACAACTGGTCAGGGAGACTAAAGGATAATTGTCTCCCTCCGAGCTAGGTGTTGTTAGCCCGGGGACCGCGGTCCAACCGATGTAGGTTGGACGTTCTATTTATGTTAATTGGTAATTAAACTTATTCTGTGTGATGTAGGTTTCTTTGTTCTAAATGTCTTGTAGTTATTAATTTATGCTGCTTGTATTGGTACAGCGCCATCTCGTTACTTGCTGTTGAAACTTATTGCAGTTCGTCTTGCTATCGATGGCTGTGACGATGCTAGTCTTCTCGCTATCGATTGTTGTGGCGATGTTACTGCGATGAATTAGATGTCGCTATGTATCAGTCGCCACAGTACTTTCCCCCTAGACCGAAGGTCGATCCATGTTGATAGTAGGTGGTATGCAGTCAGTGCTTCAGAGCTTGCAAGCGCCAGGTTGTGACGTCGGGACCGAAGCTGCTGGTGTGCAGGGCGTGGTATGCAGTCAGTGCTTCAGAGCTTGCAAGCGCCAGGTTGTGACGTCGGGACCGAAGCTGCTGGTGTGCAGGGCTGCCACGCCGGTGAGTTGTGTGTGAACTGAGGTCCGGTCGTGGGCTGCGAGGACCAGGTCGGGGTGATGCCGTCGAGTGGTGCCAAGTATCCAGGAAGCGTCGTCGATGCTGCTGTGATGGACCTTGGTGTTGGCTGGCTTGCTGCTGAAGTGACTGTGCTGGTGAGGGATGAGAAGCTGATGATGAAGGGTGAGAGGCTGTTGATGAAGAGTGATGGCTGCGATGTGATGCTGAAGGTTGCTGATGTTCTGCTGGGGTCACCACTTTAGGAACCATAAGGTTGTAGGTTGTGTGGGTCCCTAATGTGGTGATGGGAGACAACTGGCTAGGGAGACTAAAGGATAATTGTCTCCCTCCGAGCTTGGTGTTATTAGCCCGGGGACCGCGGTCCAACCGATGTAGGTTGGACGTTCTATTTATGTTAATTGGTAATTAAACTTATTCTGTGTGATGTAGGTTTCTTTGTTCTAAATGTCTTGTAGTTATTAATTTATGCTGCTTGTATTGGTACAGCGCCATCTCGTTACTTGCTGTTGAAACTTATTGCAGTTCGTCTTGCTATCGATGGCTGTGACGATGCTAGTCTTCTCGCTATCGATTGTTGTGGCGATGTTACTGCGATGAATTAGATGTCGCTATGTATCAGTCGCCACAGCCAGTGTGCACACACCACCCTCAGACCACATGGGTGAAGCCGCGGGTTACGGGTAGTACCTACTCATTATACAACAGAAAAATTTCTGATCTTAACCTATAATGGAACCATCTTGGATTGCAACTGTACTGATTCTTATTATTATTCTTTTAAATTGATAGTCAAATAACATCATTATTGTACGGGTGATATTTTATTAAGCAATTGCTACCAACTTTATTTTAATTGGTTCCCAATACTTCCGCGCTTTTGCAAGCGCCATATTCCGTTTTAAAACAACATATCATTATTTTTTTATTGATAAATAGTTGTTTCTTCTTCTATATAAGTAACAACCGAAAATTCTTAGAACACCTGATCAGAAAGTACACGTACAATCCTCTTAATATATATTCAAGATTAGAATTTATAGTGAAAGCTCCAAAAGAGCCGTGTAAACGGTGGACCGTTTAAAAATATTTTCCTATTAAAACAAACGTTCGCCTTATAAATTAAATTGTACGCTCTGAAAGGCTCTCAACTGGTATTCCTTGAGAGTCCTTATTATATTTTAATTCAAGGGGAGATTTAAATAAAGTAAAGAGAACGCTTCCTTTTTCGTCTATTTCAAACGAATGGGGAACTCATTTACTCATTGTAATTTACTAAATTAACTACCGCAAATTTTACTCACTGTAAATCAGCAAAGAGGCCGTAGAATTTAAAGGTATATAACAAATTTGTTGTTTATTTTTCTAGGTAACGACGCCGATTCAACCTCCACATTTCCAGATGAAATCCATAATCAAGAAAATGGAATCCAACCAACGGTCAACGTAGTATATCAAATGTTACATAGTACAGAACACAACCAAACCGAATTGAATTCAATTTTAAATGTGAACGAGTTGAAAGACACAAAGTGTTGTGATTATAATTATAAAATGAATGTGGTAGGTGATACAGGTGCTACTAAAATTACAGAAGTAAAAAACAAAAATGATAGAATAAAACGAATAGTGAAAATGGAAAGAACGAATGATTTTAATGATGATACTGAAATAAGTACTACAACATCAGTGGTTAATCCAACGTTTATTCATGAGAAAAGAAGAAAACCGGGGGAGACCGGGTCCAGTGCACCACTTTTAAACTACATTTTCGATACATACACAAATACGCATCAACACAGGAATGGCAAGTGAGTCAATTACTATGTAGTTTTAGTAGATACTCTTAATCTTAATTGTTTTATTGAATTTATATTCTGAAATATAAACACCATTAATCTCAAATCACCATTCTTTAAAGAAAATGAAATATTAGAGGTATACTTGTCTGAGAAATCTGAGAACTAACGATTAGTTTTTGATTTAGGTGTTCTTTCTTGGAGAAAAAGTATAAATCATTATTTTTGATTATTAATTATTCCACCAACCAAATTATAGTTTTTTATTTGATGCTTTATTTACCTAATTAATAAAACTTACACCCAGGGTTAGCCCCGGCAATAGTATTTACGCTGCAGCTGCACCAGAGATTGAAGCATTGGTGGGATCCACAGCTCACTTAGATTGCAAGGTGGACAGCCTACATGATAAATTGGTAATAAGTATGTTCATTTTTGTTTCCGAAATTATGGTCTCTTGGTTATCATTCTCCTCTTCTAGCTTTATTTGTAAATTCAATAATGTATTCTTGAAAGCGTTTTGTTTTCAATTTTACCAAACGATTTTAAATCTTAATATATTGATGGTAAACATTGATTGCAGAACTTTGCCTTATGTAGTAACCTGATGTACTTTTGTGTGTGTGTGTAGTTTATTTTGTTTCTGGTAAAAGATATGAAACATCTGTTAAAATATTGCATTCAGTTTACATGTTGTTTGTGTAAAGCTTATTTTTTGCAATGGGATTATGATTTCAAAATTTAGTTATGCACCCATGTTCAGCTCAAAAATATTAATTCATTGGGGATTAATCTATTTCAATTATAAAATTACTTGCTTTCAATTCAGGTATCATGGGTTCGTAGGAAAAATGATGAAGAACCTATGGAGCTTCTAACAACTGGTACTCAACAGTACACGGCAGATGACAGGTACTTAGACCCAATATAGTACTATTATTGTCTGTGCTATCATCATAATAATTTAACTGATATCTGTTACCGCTATATAGAGCTAACAATTAATTGACATAATCACGACAACGAAGAATACATATAACATAAGAAACTTCTCTCTCTATTGATTTTCAAGAAGCATTAAGCTTGAAAATCAATATTTCATGTTTTATGTCAATGATTTGTTTGACCGTGATATATAAATATTATATTCGTAACTAAATTGTTTTACTTTATGCCGCCATTAGTATTAAATGCGCCATTTGTTCAATTGTGAACTGGTCAATAAAGTTTAATAAATAAATAAACACTGAAAGTAAAATCAATTAACAATACATTGATAATTATCGTTCGCTTTATACCTTTTGTTTTTTGTATGACATGCTTAAAAGGTAAACTTGTAATAACAAACAACTATCTTATGTCAGATTAAGAACTCATGAATAACCGATTACGAGGTCATTTCAAATTAAGCTTAAAAAATATACATTCTGAAAATGAAACCGAAATCTACTATCTACATGAGAGAAACTTTCGTTTACTATATTGATTTTATGAATGGTTTTCAAATATACAGGTATTCTGCACGCTTCATACCACCAGATATCTGGAGATTAGAAGTTAAGGAAGTGAGACCTTCAGATGCAGCCCACTATGACTGTCAACTTTCAGCTCATCCACCGAGAACTGCACGAGTCACGTTACACGTTCCAGGTACTCTCGGGGTTTTAATAGAAACTGCTGTGGTTTAAAATAGCTTATAATAATAGTAGTAATAATAATATTATTATTGCTAAAATTATTTTATTGAATTCTAATATTGATAATTTTTATTTCCCAACATAACGACAAAATTAATGTTTCTATGATATTTGCACATTATTTTGATATCTTTAATATTATTGAATTTTTTTTTTAAAAATATTGATCCAGTATGCAGTTATATATCATAAATGTATTAGGAAAAGGAGATAAGTACAAAGACTTCCATGTATACAACTAAACAAACTTTTCGGTACGGGAAATTTACTCGGTATAGTGTTGTGTCACCACAACATATCGTTTACACGATTGTATTCCCGTCTCGCTTTGGTACTCCTTCTTAGTAAGCGTGATGACAACGCGCCCATGCGCGTTCTAATATGTATGTCACAATTTTATTTTAGAATAGCTTGTCTAGTCTAGTATACATAAGAAGTATTTGGATAAGCACGGAAATAGCAAGTAGCAAGTACATAAGTATAATGACAGAAATTGTTCTCAGAGGTATCTGTGCGGATAGTCGATGGAGCCGGTGCAGATGTATCTGAACAGGTTTGTGAGATCGGCAGCACTGTTGCTCTCCGCTGCGAAGTCAGAGGTCTTAAGATGGAGGGTGGACCGTCATTACTCTGGTATAGGCGAGAGTCTTTGCTCAACGATGACACAACTAGAGGAGGAATCAGGTTTGTATTCGTCTCGTCATTTAATTGTGTCTAACATACGTTTGTAGAGGCTATTCCAGAATATCAACGGAAATTAGATAACTGCAAAAAAAGAATTGCCAGCAAATCCTTGCACGAATTCTATAAATTTTTTTATCGTTATTATGAATTACTTGAAGAACTCCGTAGCCGATTGTTTCAAATTGAAGCCTTTCTGAGTTCCCGAGTTCGATTCCCTATCCATTCAATGTAGAAAAACATGTTATCTAATATTTAATACTTTCAGAATTTACAAAATCAGTGTAAGTAAAAATATTTTTTGTCTCATTCATCTTCCAAATACGCAGCGTACGCACCGAATTCGGTGCGAATGGTGCCAACTCTGTCCTGCGAGTTGCCCGTGTCCGTGTCGACGACGCTGGCCGGTACACGTGTACTGTAGCACGAGGACCACCTCTATCACTTCCACCTGCTCATGTTATTCTACACGTCATCAAAGGTTAATATTCTAATTTAATCTTTATTTTATCCGAAAAAGAGTTCTGTAATTGTTTAAAGTTAATATAATACTAAATTATCAGTAGTTAGTGTTTTTGCCCCACCTTATTTTAAGCTTTCTTTGAAGTTTTCTTTTCTGTTATCTCCAGCCCATTTTACATTACGATCCTCTTCTAATCTTAACCTCGAGTTTCCTCACCACCGACTGATTTCTTTTCTTACTTTTCTTCTTTACAAGCTGTCCACATGTGGAACTCCCAACCAGAACACATCAGAAACTCACTAAGCACTTTTTGCGATCAAGTTAAAATTTTCCGATCTTGAACTATTTCAAAATTTACCTTAATAAAGAAATATTATTATTATTATATTATATTATATATAATATATTTATGTTATTTAAGATATCTATTATATATTATTTATTTTGCCTGGAAGATATAATCAGGCTGCGTTTCGCATAAAATTTCTGTGTCTCGCTGTGTAATTGTTATTATTGTGAGCTATTGCTTACAATAATAATAAAACATATATTGTGATATATTGTGAGCAATAAAACATATCATTATCATAAAATAAAAGCTCAGACTCTTTTAATGGAAAACACATATTCAGCAATCGCTAGAAGTTTGCTAGCTATTACAACGACTGACCTCCGCACTGGGTACTGACTTGTGTATCCTTAATGCTTCAACATACTGAAATATTAAACTTTAAAAAACTCTTGATCTTTTTTTGTAGCTCTCCGTCTATGACATAATGTTAACAGCACTTGATACAAAAAAATATTAAATATATGAATCCTGTAAATTATGGTAAAAATGGTTAAATTCCTTTAAAATAAATTAATTATTATTTTTAAATAATGATGTTTTGTCCACCAGGTGAAAGCCTTGCAGAACTACACCAGGGAGGCAGTTCTTTTTATCGGTCATACAACATGTGGCTTCCCTTAGTGTTGACGCTATGCGTCATTTTACACTATAATATTCACATAAGTTATTAATAAAATGTTAATATTTTAATTAATGGTTTAATTTTTATCAATAACTTTTCCTCCGTGTATGTATCTATTTGAATTTATTTATATATATCAAACGATATGAAAAGCTGCTAGTGGCTTTATGATCTTTTAAAATTTCAAAATTTCAAGTAACTATAGCAGCCCCCCCCCATATTTATTTTATTTAGGTTTTGAGTATTTGTTGTAGAAGCGGCCACAGAGAAATACAATACTCTTTAAGCATTTTTCATTAATAATATTACACAGAAACACGCGTTCGCAGCCGCTGGTGGGAAGCTAGTTTAAAATAAACAAGTTACAATACTTACCTCAAAAGCGACTTATTCAAAAAAATACTATTAAAGTAGGGCGGAGGTTTTTCTGTAGGTTATCAATTAAATGATAGGCGTCCGATTTCAATAGCATTCTCTTGAATAAGTCATTTTTGAGATAAGCATCATTTTTCTTTTTTATAAGTCTTAAGTTGGTTCTATTTCTTTTTTAAGTTTTTATTTCATGTTTTTTAGTTATTTTGATATTTTTTATATAATACGGAACACTAAAAATACTTTTCTGAAAACTGTGTGCCAACCTCCATTTTTTTATCGGTTAATATACCTAAAACCTTCTCCTAAGTCAGACAAATACTATGCTGAAAACCGCATCAAAATCGTTTTTTTTAGAAGTCTGTTAAAAACAATAAAACTTTCCTATAGATGTGACTTTGAGTTAAAAGGTCCTAACCCGAATATAGAACTTATTACTTGATACAGAATTTAATACAAGATAGTTTTCGGAAAGTTGAAGGTCCGGTATAAAATTAACCTCTCCGCGTTTCTATAATACTAATTACTAGCTTTACGCCAGCGGATTCGCCTACGTGGTCCCTAGGGAACTATTTATTTGGATATCGATTCATATCATGACTTGTTTATAATTATAATGACAAATTGATAGAAGTAGTAAGCAATGAGGTTACGTAAGCAATGGTGATGTTTTAATTCCCCATATAAACTTTCACTCCCTATTTCATTCCCTTTATTTGCTGTTGGGATAAAATATAGCCTGTGTTCACCGCATATGACGTAGTAATCGTCAAATCCGTCCAGTAGTTTTGGAGCCGATTAGATGCAAACAAACAAACATACAATCAAAGCTTTGCTCTTTATAATATTTGTATAGATTTAACTAATTAATTTATTATAGTCATTACCATGTAAGTACGAATATCTACTGTATCAAATATTAACATTCAAATTATAATATTGTTAAAATAATCAAGCATATACGCGTACCTGATAAAGTTGTTCCATGAATTTGCAATAAGGTTTAATTAAACTGAGGATCAAAGTAATCGTAGGCTATTAGTCCTACGGTTTTGAATACGCAGACTTTAACGATTATTATAATCTTATAATAAATCTAAGCACCTGTTGCAAAGTGATATATGGTATGTATTACAACATATTATCAAGTATTTTTTAATATATATTATTAGAATGCGTGTGCTTATAAAGCAGAGTGTGCAACGATGAGGGTTGGTAGATCCCAGGCGCTTCTCCCAATAGTGAGGGTGCATCGGAGGCGGTTTAGTGAATATGCCACTTGCGGGTTTATATTAGCCATCTGTCTATGCAGATGGAGAGTCCTAGACATCCCTCAGCCACTGATTAAGAGGCAGAGACTGTGCGTAATGCATTCCCTCTACGAAGCAAAACAAGGTTGAAGGTTACTGCCAATCCGATGAAAGTTACGCATTCGTCTAACAGATCAAACATGGACCAAGCAAGAATTTGTATTTGTCAGGTACGACATACCGCAATCGACCGGACGCGACGTATCTTTCGTCAAATTTGTGTTCGTAATGTTTGAAAGAAAAATTACTTAGACAGAAAATTGAATTTTCTGCTTTATATATACTTACTATACTATATTATAAAGCAGGCCAGGATCTACGATTTTTTGACCGGGTCCGAAATTTCGTATGGCTCCCTCAGAGATGTACAAAATACCCTGTACAAAGTATCTGGAATACAAGACACAAAATACTTTTAAATTAAGTATTTCAGATACCAGATACAAAATACTTTCGCGAAAAGTATTTGAAATACTAGACACAAAATAGGTATCTTATAGATACTTTTTATAAATACAAATACTTTTCTGAAAAAAGATTTGAATTTAAGTTTGTTTATTAAAGACCACAAAAACCTAAATCTTAGACCAGATGGTTCCAGGGACAAAGTGGATTTTTTAAGCATTTTTCATTAGAAACAATTTTTGTAAGCTTTTATTTAGTTTTCTGTGTTTGTACTCAAATCTTACAAGCTAAATTTCACCCACTTTTCCTCCGTTTTATTTGTTTGTCAATCACAATGTAACATATAAAAATGCAAATATTTAATACATCAGGTTTAAATTATTTTAAATTTTTTAGTTCCTTTTTAATAATATTTTTTTTCAATATAGCATTGTGAATGAAAATTGCTGAAATATAACAACAAGAATAATTATTTAAATTTTATTATAAAATTATTATTTACTAGTGGACGCCCGCGACTTCGTCCGCGTGGAAGTCGGTATCCCGTGGGAGTGAGAAGTTTTCCCAGTAAAAAGTACCCTATGTGTTATTCTGATGTATAACCTATATTGCTGTAAAGTTTTATCCAAATCCGTCCAGTAGTTTTTTCGTGAAAGAGTAACAAACATCCATACATCCATACTTACAAACTTTCGCCTTTATAATATTAATAGGATTTAAAAAGCTGGTTTTACGTACGACGTAAAATTACGGAGAACTGAAAATTCATTTTTTCCTAGTGAGATGAAGAGAATGGGTAAAAATAAATACAGTACTTGGTTTTTAAAATTAATGGCGTGACTTGTGACGAGGTGAATGTTCGATAGTATGTAACGGAACGTATATTAACTTTTTTTGCAGAACTACCGAAAATTATGCCCCTTTAGTGTGTTAAGCTAATTTGAAAATTTTTAGTAGAAAATACTTAGCTTCTGTGGTTGATTATAGTACGTTGGTTTGTAGGAAAGGCTTATAATACGTAGATGTACCTAAAAAGACGTAGAGTTGGTATTGCTGGTACTGTTGGTAATGCGCCATTAGTTACCATCTGATCGGATAAATCCGGTCCCAACCGGATTTGAAGTATTAATTAAGTCTTTATCTATGATATTTCCGTTTTTAATAAAATAAATGAAGCTTTATTTTCTTATTTCTATTAATCAAAGTAATCACCCATGCAATCAATACATCTTTGCCAACGCATTGGTAGCTTAATGATGCCTTCTTAAAGAAATCAGCTGGACGGGAGGCAACAACTACTTCAAAGGCATTTTGTACTGCCTCTCGGGAATTTTTTTTTGCCCGCTAAGACGTTATCCAAATTCTGGAAGAATTAGAAGTCTGTAGACGCATGATCTGTTAAGTACGGCGGATGACGGAGAACTTCAAATTCCAGCTCTTGTAGCTTGGGTACCGCCAATTGTGTAGTATGAGGTCGCACGTGGTCGTGCAGGAGCAGTGGAACCGAACGATTGACAAAACCTGGTTGGAGTTGTGCCAGATTCTCCGTCATTGTGTTCAGTTCTTCATAATACACACAGTAAATCTGCTGTAATGCTCGTCCTGTTTGGTAAGAAGCTGTGATGAAATCCGCGTTAGACCACCAAACAGTAACCTTTTCGTAAACCAATAACGGGCAAACCAATAACGGGTGGTGCGTTCGTTTGTAGTGTTCGCTCTGCAAACGTTGTAATGTTGCGTGCCGTTTTGCTGCCACGATGGCACACATACTCCATAATTATGTACTCGAATTTTTAACTTATCCATGACGACGAAAAATATTCAAATGCATTGAAAACAAAACACTTACTATTGAACAAATGACGATTTTAGAAAAAATAATTTGATATTAGAATTATCA